CCGCTCAACAATTCTCCTGTATGTAATGTATTCCCCCTATGAAATGATATGTAATAAGCAGAGAAAGTTGAAGAGGCATGATTGCACATAAGTTTAGCTGGGCTTTCTCCACTCCCGTTTAGAGGGACAGTACCCGAATTCTAGGCCTCAAGTACTGTCCCTCTAAGACCTACTGAGATACAGGTGCAAGATTTGGGACTGAAGCCTTGAAAAGAGTCCCACCTTGCCTACACTGCTGATTATCAGTAGTATAACCTTGCTAGATGAAAATATTTAATACTTCACAGATGCCTGAAAAAAATGTGCAAATCCATAGGCCTAGTAATTCTGCATTTAGTAATTTACCTTATACAAAGATTCATTTACAATTATGAAATAATTCACATCACAGCATCATTTAAAATAGTACAAGAACAACAATTTCAGCCAAATCTGTGTATGGTATAAGTCCAGCGATAAGGGACTTATGTAAAATGATACTTTCATATCATGCAGTATCCTACAACCATTCTAAATATAGAATAGTTATTAGCATCTGAACATGGCAATAAATTTATAAAATATTATCTTTATTTTTAAAAAATAACAAAAGCTTTATACTAATACTCTGAAATTTCATGAAGATTATACCTGAGGGGTAAAATTATGTGTAAATTTTACTTTACTCTTTGTGAATTTTCATATTCCTGTAATTTCCCTAAATGAATTTGATGCACTTCCTGGTCTTATCTCTTTCTAAGTATTAACTCTGGGTTAGCATTAAATTCGGTTTATTTCTTGTCTAGATTCCTACCCTGGCCAGGTGCTGCTGCCATCACGTTTGTCCAAGGCAGCGGTGACTCATATCTCTCTTTCCTGGTCTCAGTTTGGCCTCAGTTTTGTTTGGGTTTGGTTTTGGTTGCCATTATTTCTTCAACTGTTGGTAAGGTCAAAGGAAAGGCCTGATAGATTTTTTCCCCCCTTTCATTAATCCTTCAACATCAAATTCATCACTGTGAGTTAAATGATTAATAATTTATTCAAAGCAAAGCTTTGGAGTAACTGAAGATATTAGAAATCTTTCAGAAATCAATTTTACTTACATCATGTATGTCAGGGTATAGCATGTTGTGGGGATGATGAAGTCTGTGAATGAATATTAACATAAACATTGACAAAGAAAGCAGTGTGTATATGACTTTCTTCGAAGTATTGTTCTTTCTTACACAACAAATATGCTCCCCAAAGTAAGTAGCATAAAAAACAAATCGTGAATGTGCAACTGAAAGGAGAAAGGACAGAAAGCTTCTTATCAAACAAATATTCATTTCGAATTTTCCGACTGATAAGTTTAAATCTCACATGTATTGCTAAATATTTATTATCTTAAAGAAGGGTATATTAGAGCTTTCTTGGAGGAAACTTTATCTGAATAGCTTCAGTTTTGCGTGGGTTCAGTTTCATGCAATCAGGTTTCATTTCCTGTAATAGATCATTTTTTTAACTCATGATGAAGAAACTATGTCAGTTTATATCATGCCAATTTGTTCAAGCTATCCTAATTTAATTAATATATCAGCCCTCATCTCACCTGTGGTTTTCATGCAAAATTTCAGATTATCCAGGAATATCATTGCTATATACAAACATAAGGATCCTGGGTTGGCACAAACTTTCTATATAAATTTGTATATATTCAGCTATGATACTGAGTTGCTAGACCCAGGAGCCATTATGATTGAATTTCATAAGAACACCAGACTGGAAATGCAAATACAAAGCTTAGGGACTTATTTATGGAACACCTATCTGTAATGTGTCAGTCTCAAATGATATTATTGAATGATTCTTTTCATAAATTTTGAATGTGCTCAATTCTGTAATACGGTATCTATTATAAATCCAGTGTTAGTTTGGGCACATTTATTCCAGATAGTTTTCAAATGCTTTGGGTTTGGTAAAATGCTAAAGAACTTCATCAAACATCCCCCTATTCTTACCTGTTTGGAACTATTCATACTTTAAAGAGAACCGAATCCTTCTATAGCTACATGCTAAGTTGACAATCAAGTTACCAGGGTGTCATTTTATCTGTTTAACTTCTAAGAAGTTGCAGAATGTATTTCACAAACTGCTGCTGTATCTCCTCCTCTTTTTATTTTTTAAAATTACTGGAAAAATGCATTCCCTAGTGCTAGGCAAAGCAAAATCTGGAGAGATTTGGAAATTTTGTTTATTCTAAACTTAGATTCCATAATATTTTGAGTGGGTCTAAATTTGATAAAACCTGTTCTCTCATTCTTACCGTCAGTTTGTTTTAGAGTCATCTGGTTTTGATTTTTCAAAGAGAACCTGAAGATGAAAATTCAGCTGTACAGCTGCACAACTTATTGCCAACACAATACTTTACAGAGATGTGTATGTGTTTGTGTGTGGGGGGGCAGCACACACATGCAAGTATGTGTCTTTAAATAAAAAATAAACTATACATTAAATCTAGTGATTATTCAAATTGAGTTTTAAAGCTCTCATCCCACCAGTCCCTTCTAACTGTGGGTTTATACTGGAGAGAACAGTGGAAAACTGTCAGGAAATGGGTCTAAATGCTCTAAAATTTTTTAGGAATTATTTTTTTAAGGCAGTAATCTATGCAAAGAGGTATTCCTTTCTGAAATTTCTTGGTCAAAGCATCAATACCTTTATTGCCCTAGGTTACTTTTGAAAAACAGGATGACCAAAATCACTTTTTCACAGTTGCTTTCACAGGACTATTTAATAAATTTTAGCAAAGTGAATACTTGGATAAGTGATTGAATGAATGATCCTGTCTATAAAGATATTTAGACTTTTCTGCTTAGTACGATTTTGTATTCATTTATACAATTGTGGGTTTTCATGTTAAGAATAAAATTTTATTTAAAAATTTTTATTTTAAACACAAAATATACAAAATATTTTAAAAATTATATTACTGATTCCTACAACTGATTCATTTTTTTTTTTAACTTTAGTCATGGAACAATTCTTTTATGGTCCTTGGGAATTCTCTAAGCGTATCTACCCAAAATGTTAATATTTAATGGAATTTGCACTAGCAAGACTCCAAAATGGTCCCCAAAATCACCACCAATGATCCACCCTCCCCCCTGTCCCCGGTATTTATACCTTTGGTTCATTCCAATAAATCTAGACTACACCTGTGTGACCAATAGAGTACAGAAGCAACAGCATGTGACTGTCAAGATTGCAAAAGGCATTAAATCTTTCTTCTGATATCTTGGATTACTGACTCTGGGGGAACCTAGCCACCATACTATGAGAACATTAAAGTAGCCCCTTGGAGAGGCCCATATGGAGAAGAAATGAGGCACTTGATTGACTTACCTCACCTGTGAGGGAGCCACCATGAAAGTAGGTCATCAAGCCCCAAACTTCCAGGTGACTGTCACCCCCAGTCAAAATCTGACTGCAACTACAAAAAAGCCCTAAGCGAGAACTAACCGAAAGTGCTCTTCTTGAATTACTGACCTAGAATTCTGAGCATAGTAAATCATGATTTTATGTCATTAAATTTTGGGGTAATTTGTCACACCACTCTAGTAACTAGAATAATATTTAAATGTATATGTATTCAGCAAATTTATAGATTTACTTCTCATTTTTAAGAGTATAGAAAATCAATAGTGATTCTAAGATCAAGTGCACACTTAGATCCTCCAACATTCATTTGTCAAGTTTCTCTTCTTAGAAAAGATTTTATGTTGAAAGTATTCAAATTTGTGCTATTTAATTTCCTTCCTGGCCTTTCTAGCCTTTCACTACTTTGGTAGATTTACTTCTTATCCCTCTCTAAAGACATGCCCATTTTACGATCAGAATCTACTGGTGCCCCCTGGATTTGGTGGACTGTATCTAGTGAGCAACCGAATAAAGGGATCGGTGCATAATGGGTGATAAATACACAAACTGATGAGCAGATTTTAGTGCCTTATATGTGCCAGGTATGTTTTTTCCATTACCCCTTTGTGTGTGTATAGTCTTTTTTGTAGTATTTCACATGTATTTGATTTTCCCAATAATCCTGTGTATTCAGAAAAAAAAGGAATCTCATGAACAAAAGGTGTTCGTTAGCATTTAGAATCTTCCTAACATAATTTTGTCTTTAAAGGTGTAATCAGCTTTTGGTTTGTAGAAAGAAAATCTGAGAACTGCTCATTAACAAATAGCTTCAATTTCCCCAAGAAACACAGGCTCCTACTCTCAAAGAGCTTCATTTTTGTGAGGAAACTGACAACAAAAAAGAAGAAACTCACTACAAAGCAATGACTTCTATGCAGAGATGCAAATAAGATGAGACACTGGAGTCATTAGATAGCTGCTCTGGAGGGCAGATAGCCTGAGATCTGGAAAAAAGAATGAAGAAGGAAGGAAAACTTCACAGGCAGAAGGAGCAGAGCATAAGGGCCGCAAGGTGAGAAAGAGCTTGGCATATTGGGGACAAAATGAAGGTCGATGGCAGGCAGAAGAGTGGACCTGGGTGGTACAAGATACAGTCAGACCAGCCCCGTCAGGGAGGGCTTCGTATAATAGAATAAGAAATCAGAATCTTTTTTTCTAAAAGCAGGAAGAAGCCAAAGAGGACTTTATACCAGCGATCTGAAATATTTCTAAAGGTTCCTTCTGGCTGCTCTATGGGTAAACAGGGTACTGTATGGGGGCAAAAATAAAACGAAAGGTGTTAGGAGACTAATACAAAGGATAGGGAGGGATGATGTTGGTTTGGCTATGGAGGTAGTAAGAGAAAGTGAGAGGAATTGATATCTGCAAGACATGCTTTGGAGGAAGATGCTGAGAAATTTGCTGATAGTTTGCATGTGGGGGTCGTTTGCCACCTGCCAAACCTCAGCTGTTTTGGCTCTACCAAGTTTCTGGCTTGTACAGCACTGTTTGCACAATCATTTTAATCTTCACTGACCTTTCCTTTATTATTTTACAAAATAAAAATGTTAATGATAAAAAGCATGGGTCTGTTAAATGTGATACCTCGAAACATAGATGGATGTTATCAGCAAGCTGAAAGCAGTAAGTTTTAGCATCAGTTGGTTTCTCAATGAAATTTAAAGCTGTCAACAATGTAGTCAATGTTGAGGAAGAGAAAAAAATTAAAGTTATATAAAATGGATTATTGTAATTGTTTCTAAAGAAAAGATACATTTTTAACCTCTGTATCATATTTAAGCCTATTCAACTTTTGTATATTCTTGACACTATTCATGTTTTCATGCTTTCAAATACATATAATTCTTTACTAAATATCACATTCTAGTAACACACTGTAAATATTTGAATGTCACCAGATACATTTATGTATGTATTAAAACATATTGAATTCTTTCTATGTCCTGGACACTTTTCTATGTGCTTTGATTATCGACAGGAACAGACCAGGTCGGCCACAGTGTTTGCCTTCGGAGGGCGTACAGTCTTGTGGGTATAAAAGTAAGTAAACAAGCAACCAATAAAGAAGGAATCACACTAGGAAGGGACAAAAGACAAGATGGACAATGTTCAGGGTGTCATGGGAACACACAGGCAGAATCATTAACTAAGCAGTTGGGTGACTTGGGGTGGGAAAAGGGATAGGAAAATCCCCCTGGAGGAGATGACCTTCAGTCTGAGATCCAAGTTTGAGTTGCATATACTGTGGAGCTTATCTGTAAGAACTGGTCACCTCACTAAGGTGTGATCTCAGCCATTCATTCAATAGCCTCACCTCTATATAAGTATATTTTCTTTCTCTAACATGGTGCATGGAGGAAGTCCAATAAAGAGACACATTTGTATTTTTAAAAACAGGCTCTGGAAAGAAATTCAATTAAGACTAAAGATGAAAGTGAAGATGGAGTAAGCTGTTATAATAAATTAATGGCTTATAGCCAAAAAAACCCCAGAAATGTCTGATATATTGAAAAGTGGTATATTGAGGTTCACAGTGGCTCTGCTCTATTCGGTAACTGAGTTCTCCGTGAGCTCTATAAGGAAACGAGTTCAAGCAGATTGTAAAACAGATTCAGAATGTACCAGGAACAGTAAAAATGTGCTTTTTAAGTGAGAGAGATAAATCGTTATGTGTCCGAAGAGGTATACAGATGTTCACTTGTGCTTCTGCTTTTGTTTTGTTAGAGAATTGTATACTATGGTAGAACTCACAAATTTTGACATTCACAAAGGCCTCAGGCCCTCCTCCCTGGAACTATAAAGGCCCCTATCCCCTTTAGATGGATATAATATTTTATCTAAAGAAAGACTGCAGAAATCCAGTATTTGCATTGTGGGTCTCTCTTACCATTTTCTCAATACATACACCCACTTTCGCATTGTTCTTTGCCCTTTCCAAGTTCCTCTTTCCTACACACGATACATTATTGCCAGAGTTAAAAAGCCAGAGGGACTGACTTTCAAATATTTCAAATGTTATTTATGCAACTAATTTAGTTTGCCCAAGTAATAATGTACACACCCAGCAGGATGTGCTCTATAAATGACTCCCCAGTTAATCTTGGATTCCACTTAAAAATTGGTGTTATTACTAACTTATTAGTCAAAAAGTAAAATGCTTATGATAAATCTTATGCTCACAGAAGTCTTTCTTCTGGGGAGCTAGAACTCGTCTACAAAGAAAGAAAAAGTGAATTCTCACACCCTGGATCAAGACCAAATCTGGAATAAGTCAAGGTTTCTGATATTGTTTCTCATGTCCATGGTATAAGTTTAAATTTTAAGTCTGTGAATTGAGTACTACAAAGATTATCATAGTTTCTGGTCTCCATCTCCATAAAGTCTCACTATGTATTCTATTCTTCTTTACCTCTCTTTTTAAACTAAGCAATGAATATTTAGAAAACGTCTTTATTCATATAGCTACCTTCTATGCTATAATATGAATATGTTATTGAATAGGATCTTATATGGATCCAATATGAACGGGATGTTGGTATTTGATCCACCAGAAAAGGGCATGCCAAAAAATGTTACACTAAGAACTTTTCTAAGGCTGAAAAATATTCAGCACAATGAAGACAGTAGTACTGAGTTTTTTCTTTAAATTATTTTGCTCATAAATCATTTTGTTAATGACTTAATACATACATATAAAGCAACTTGAATCTTATTTTGACTTGAAAAGGTGCCACCGTTAGTGTAAACCTGTCAGTCTCACCTGATGTTAGAAGTATCAGAAGGCCTTTATAGCATAGTCTCAGCCTCAGCGTATCAGCTTACTGACATCCTGTAACTAAAAACAAACAAGAAGCTTGTAATGCATACAGATAAGCATCACTATGTGTTTTTCTTAAAATAATGTTTTAGCTATTATTGTTGTTGCTGATTTTCCTTTCATTTAAGTGAGGGAGAAAAATAGCCAGCAAATAAAACCTTCTCTTGACAGCGTCAGGCTGTCTCCCTGCTGTACGTGTGAACACAGAGGATTCATAGTTTGTAGAACTATGGTTCCTGTTTGATTTAGATTTGCTCTTAAACACTCTTAGCTTGATCCCTGGTGCTTATCTGCAGAGCTTGCTAGCTGCTGTACCAGCAATATTCCACGTCTTCATTAACTTACAATTAGGTCACTTTTGTTCCTTTTTTAACAAATTGCACTGCAGTTTATAAAAATGTGAGAATTTGGCACAGTTTTGTTTCCACCAAGGCACCTTGGATTATTTCTCAAATGTTTTCGGTTAGGTAAAATTTCAAATGCATCTTGCCAAGTGCCCTTTTCTCCATGACTTCCAAATCCATGAAAATTTCAGGGGAAATTTAATCCGTATGTTTCTGATTCATTCACTCTTAACTCATCATATTATTGTTTTCAAAAAACAATTTTATGTCCAAGAAACCCTAGGGACATTTTTAGTCAAAAATTTCCCCAATTGGATCATGGAAGTCGTTAATTTTCAAGTATTAAACATTAGACTTGAACTTCCCCCACCCCCCCCATTTTAACTTCAAATTATTCTTGTAAGAGGTAAGTTCCAATCAGAATATAGAGAATGTGAAATGACTGCACATTTCTGCCAGCAGCTGCCTTGCCAGAACCGAGGCTGACTCAATCAGCCTGAGCCTGCTAAACAAAGCCAAGTTCACCCCTTAATCGTCAGAGTGCTCTGAGTCTCAGGCGTTCTTCCCTCTACTGAGTCACCAGTTAAGTCGCACTTGTGGATCTGAACCTGCCATTTTGTAAAAAATGTGAGCTGAGGCATGTCTAAACCCTTTTGGAATCAGGAAGTATCACACTTAGTAACCGTTTCTTCTGAAAGGGAGGAGAAATCTTTCTATAAATAGTGTACTCTGCATCTACTACAGTATTGTTTGTTTACTTTTTTGCACATCATTTTAGAGTCATCAAGTCACATTACAAAGGACTTTCGGTTTCATGCAAAAACACCAATATACTTTAAGATGCTGAACACATTAACAAATAAGTACCAAATACATGTTTATGCATTGGCTTCTAGTTGAAGCAATCTGGTTGGCATTTTCTCAAGGGAGTTATTTAAATTTTAAATGGAACAACATCTCATTTAGATTTCTGCAAATGTGCTAGGGCAAAGAAGTAATTTATATGTACATGAAACTCTTCATTGAAGCACCTGGGTACTTGACAATAATTAAAATACAAAGTAGCCTTATTAACTTTTCCTTTCAACTTTCTACCTTTTTTCTTCTTCACCGAGAGTGAGAGGAAATTTCTAGAGTAGATTGTCAGGTGCCCAGAGGTCCTCTTTCCTACTACCACATAGTGCCTGCTTGCAGTTTGCTCCTGTATCCCTTTCTGTTGCATCCTTCAAAGCTATGCTCTGATCTTCTCTTGTACATTCACTGTCTATTTTCAGAATATGTGTTTTTATTTCTCAAACTTTCAGTCCCTTTTATTCCAACTGCCAGAAATTGAACATTTATTTCACTTTAATGCCAGCAATATAATTAAGGAAACAAATGATAAAGAATACAAAAAGGGTGGAAAGTACTGTAAATCAGAAATTTCCATAATGCAGTTTCAGCAGTGACCTGGGTTTGGATAATTCTCCCACTTACCGTTGTTGGCTCTAGACCTCCATCTTCAGAGGATGTGATTTAAATCAGCGGTCTCAAAAGTGGCACCCAGAAATGCACATACGGGGTCCATTCCAGACCTATCAGAAACTCTAGGCATGTGTCCCCATATCTGTGTTAACAAACCAGCCAGGTGATTCTGATTCTTGCTGAAGTTTGAATTAGCCCCGAAATTTAATGGGTTGAATTCAACAGTTTGCTTCTCATTTTGTATTTCTTTCCATGTTTTTTTTTTTAATTAAATTCATTGGGATGCCATTGGTTAATAACAGTATAAAAGTTTCAAGTGTACAATTCTGTAATACATCATCTCTATATTGATTACATTGTGTGCTTACCACCCAAAGTCAAATCTCCTTCCATCACCATGTATTTGATCCCTTTAACCCTTTTCATCCTCTCCTAATCCCCTTCCCATCTGGTAACCATTATACTGTTACCTGTTTCTATAAGTTAGTATTCTATTGTATATATGTACCACATCTTCTTTATCCAATTATCCATCAGAGGACACTTAGGTTGTTTGCATGTATTGGCTACCATGAATAATGCTACAATGAACATAAGAGTGCATATCTTTACGAATAAATGTTTTCAATTTTTTAGGTAGATATCCAGAAGAGGGATTGCTGAGTCATATGGTACCTCTATTTTTAATTTTCGAGGAACCTCCATACTGCTTTCCACAGTGGTTGTAACAATTTACATTCCCACCAGAAGTGTATGAGGGTTCCTTTTTATCTACATCCTCTCTAATACTTATTATTTCTTATCTTATTGATAATAGCCATTCTAACATCATTTTCTGTTTTCTTAACCTTACCTTTCTTATCAGTGGCATCAATCACTGTACTTTGTTGTGAAAATTTTGAAGTCATTTTTACTCTTCTTCATTTTCTTTTTCTTTTTCTTTTTCAGCACCTTGTCATAAAAGTTGTCCATTTGGTAACCAAGGTAGTTTTAAAGATGTAATCCTTCTCACATATTCTAGGCCCATAAATATCAAATTTTAAGCCCTTTCCAGTAAACCAACCGATATCCTCTCTGAAGTCTTCTATTCTATACTCCTATTAAAATAATTTCCCTAATATGCTGATTTTATCTGTCACGCCACTGCTCAAGAACAGTGCTATTTTATTTTGAACCAAAATCTAATTCTCTTGTTTATCCTTTAAGGTCTCTACCAATTAGCATTTCTCTGCTGCTTTGGTCTCATTTCTCATTTTCTAGCAAAGCAGACCTCATTGGCTATACTCACTTACTTTTTATTTTATGTTTCTCTTATTTAGAATGCCCTCCCCCTCCCCTTTCCACCATTCTATATTCTCTTCCTATTGAAAATCCAGTTCTCATTCTTTGAATCAGGACTGTAACTTCATCATTCG